GCCCCTGAGCCTCTGGTCTGTACCCCAGTTCTGTATGTGCAAATAAATAAATCTTTAAAAAAAAAAATTAGCATTGGTTAAAAAAGAACAGGTGTATATAGAATAGGATTGTATATTTTCTGATGGACATGTACTGTCAAGTGTGTTTTCAAACAGTAAGGAACTTTTAAAACTACTAGTCACAAGCTAATTCAAATCAATCTTCCCATATGTATATAGCGTTGAAAAATAATACACTGAAAAGTCAAAAAATCAGTTTACAGTAGCATTTTTCAACCATGGCACTTTAATATTTGTTGTGTCATACTTCATTTCTCTCATTTTTTATTTTTGTGAGTCACTAAACATAAACAAGTATTAGGTACTGCTAGCAGATATTTCCCCTAGAGAAGGTACTTCATTTCCCATGTCACCCAAGTAGCTAAAGTGAAAAGCATGCCCCTTTAGCAGTGGGTTAGGACTGAGTTGTCCCTTTATTTAGTTTTAGCTCTCTTCTAATTTCAAGTGTCTTGAGTATTAAATCAGATCTCTCTACTAGCAAGACTTTGGGATCTGAACACTGTAAGAATTTAAGGTTTTTTTTCCCTCTCTTTTCAGTTCAGTCCCAATTAATTATTCAGCAAAAGTTCTTATGAGATTTTGTATGTGAATTAGCACCGTGTTTGAGGATCCAATTTCCAATCTGCCATGTCACCTCACATGTAGTTGGTTTCTCCTAGGGCATAAAAAGATCAAAGAGCAGGTTTGCTCCTTTGTCTATCCTTCTAAACTCAGTTAATAATCCCAAGAATGCAAATGGTCACCAGTTTCTTCTTGACTAGGAAGGAGTCACTGTTTTCTTAAACTAAGTTCAAACTTCATGCCATAACTTCAGTGGATTGTTTAAAAATGCAAGTTTTAAAAATTATATGATTTCCCCCTTATGAAAATATGACAAACAATGTTTGTTTGAAAGCTAATAAAGTCATTATTTTTTCTCTTACTGAAAGGTTATACTCCTCCTCCTTACTTACCATCTTCAAATTTCAAGTTTCTGAAAAACTTGCTAGTTACTGGTGGTGTCTTTTTTTTTTTTTTTAACTATTATTACTTAATTACTTATCTGTATTCTCCACTAGGCTATGACAAATAGACTGGCAGCTAACTGTAACAGTGGACAGATGGTGGGATGAAAGGCAAGCACAAATCAATAGTGCAATATGTGTTTACAAAAGGGAAATATATGTTGATTTTAATATGTTATGCATCAAACACTAAATCTATTTTAGTGTTATTGCTTCAGGTGAAAAAAATTCTCTCAGAAAAATTGAGGATTATCAAAAAAAATCACAAATTCTATGTTAAAATAAAAATTAATGATGGAAAACTATGTTGATTTCACATAAAAATAGACCCTAAAAAAAAAAGTACTAAGTAACATTAATTAATAAGGAGGCCTTACCATACTATCATATTTTACAAGAGAAGTGCTCAGCTCTCTAACTTTAGCATTCTACAAACACCAGAACTAAACTGTAACCCTGTAATGTACTCCTTGTTATATTTTTATATGATACTATTATGCCTTTTATAAAGTCAGCTATTTATATTCTTAATGTAAAGAGATGTAGACTACTAGAATATAACAAATCTCTCTTAAGCTACTTAATAAAGTCCCAATCTCTGCACACACACAAAAATATTCAATACATGCACAATCATACATAGGAAAGAACATGATGCTCTACTTTGGTAACAGGATAGGAAAGAAAATACCCTGACTACCCTACTTTAAATATATTACTTTTGATATCTGAGAAATTCCTAAGACAAAGTTACTAGGAGGTGTTAAAAAAAAGTGTCTAGGAGGGTAAATCAATTTAGGAAGCTTAATACTGATTATAAAGGATAAAGGGAATAGAAGTCATGAAAAAAAAACAGACATGACTAAAACAATTAAGTCAGAGTTTTTGGTAAAAATAGTTTAAAAGCTAGGGACTTAGTTTCACATCTTGTTAATTTTTAAAATGTCTTAAAATAGAAGAGAACAGAAGGTAAGAGTAATTTAAAACGACATACTGCCATTTTAAATGGTCAAATTAATCCATAAAATTTTTTCTACACCCATAAAAGCCAGAAATGGAATCTCCACTAAACTATTTTTAAACATTTAAAATGTATTTTAGAGGGATAACAAATTTTCCAGTGCTTAAAAAAAAATTTTTTTTAAGCTGTCCTGTACCTATAGTGTAGACTATCTGTAGGTATCATCCTATCAGATGATAAAAAGAAAAACTGCTAAGGATGTTCACACCACAGCAGAAATTAATCTACAAGAACCCTAAATGCACAGGTATTAATTAGGGTAGTTGAACTGTAGTTTTAGCTTACACAGAAAATATTTAAATGGAAACTGAATGACAGCTGGTGGTGAAATGTGAGTCTGTAATTCACTTCCTCAAAAACCATCAGCACTAAGGCAACATACATGTAACAGGCTTTTGAGAGTGTGTGGATTTTTATGTCCCCTTAGAGCAACTTAAAAATAAGAGCTTAATTTTTTATTTTACTAACCAATCAACTGTAATTAGGAGGAAAAAACTGAGTGATGAAAGGTAATTACTAAGTTTTAGAACTACTGACCTTATAAATATGTTGTTTCTTAAGATAAGAGAAAAATGCTGGTTCTCCCTGGTGGTGCAATGGGTAACGGACCGCATTATGAAGCTCTCTGAAGTCACTGCAGCATGAGTTCAACCCCCCACAAGGGAGCTGACCCACATGGCCAGGCAGACCTCTTCTGACCCGCCCGCTGCTCCCCTCAGCAGTGTACTTCATCAATCTGCATGTTCTGCTCCCTACTCTGTCTCTGGTGAATCTTCTCATCTACCACTACTCTGACCTCTACCCTAGTTCTGTATGCATAAATAAGTAAATCTTTTAAAAAAATATGCTAAAGAAAATAAGGTACACTGACTTGTAGAAATTCCTTAATATGCGTACATGGTATCACTCACTACAAGGAGACTTGCATCAGCAAGAAAAGAAAAACCTACAAATGGGCAAAGATCTGTAAGATTCCAAATTTCAGGACTGTTATTTTATGATTCCCATGAAGATGAATACAGAAAAGAATGAGAAGTATGAGTGATAACAAAGTCCCTGGCCATTCAGAGTAGATTGTCTATTAATAATAAAAATAAATATGTTTTATAAGGTGACTAGATGACTTTAAAGTTCTCAACTGGATCACTCAAATAGTTTTCTAATTTGAACTCTTCAGAATTGAGGTCCAGCATTTCTGGACAGAAACCATATTAAAAACCAACTTTTATTCGTACTAATCTTCAATATATTAAAAAATACACAATCTGTTTTTTAATTAAAATACATACACTATTGTATACATCAAATTAAATAGCTACTAAGCTTAAGTTCATTTTCATTAACTGAATAAATAAGAAAAAATTATTAATTGTGTTTTCTTAGGAGTTCCTTTAATGCTTTAATATTAATTCTTTCCCTATGTGGATACAAAATATAATACTTAATGTATAAAAGTTAATCAGCAATTTGAAGATCCATAGAATGAGAAGATTTGATATCAGTAGTAAGATACAAAAAGAAAAAATACATTTCAATGAAGAATGACAAGCCAATTGAAATAAAATATCTAGCAATGTAATATTAAAACTGAAGAGAAGAAACCATAGTACTTTGAAAAATTATAATGAGGAGTGAAAATAAAACATGAAAAATCCTAAATAAAATTCTAGCTAGTAGAATCCAGTAATCAAAAAGATAATCCACCATGACCAAGTGGGTTTTATCCCAGGGGCACAAAGATGGTTCAACATTTGAAAAGCAACTAATGTAATCCATAACATCAACAAAAAGAAAAATAAAAACCAAATGATCATATCAATAGATGCAGAGAAAGCATTTGAGAAAGTCCAGCAACCATTCATGATAAAGATACATGAAACTCTTGGGATAGAAGGAACATACTATAACATAATAAAGGTCATATATGACAAACTCATAGCAAATGTCATTCTCAATGGTGAAAAACTGGACTCCTTTCCATTATGGTCAGGAACAAGATAAGGATGTCCACTCTCACCATAGTTTTTCAATATAATACTGGAAGTCCTAGCCAGATCAATAAGATTAGAAAAAGACATACAAGGAATCCAAACAGGGAAAGAAGTAGTAAAACTATCACTTTTTACAGATGGCATGATAAAATACATAGAGAATCCCAAAACCACTGCAGAAAAACTTACCAAATTAATAAGCCAGCTTAGTAAAGTAGCGGAATACAAAATCAACACACAAAAATCAATAGCATTCCTATACACAATCCCTCTGAAGAAGAAATCAAGAAAGCCATTCCCTTTATAATTGAAACAAATAAGATCAAATACTTGGGAATAAACATAACAAAAGAGGTGAAGGGCCTCTATAAAAAATTGTAAAACATTGTTAAAATAAATAAAAATGGCAAGAGATCCCTTGCTCATGTATTAGAAGAATTAACATCATTAAAATGGTCAACCTACCAAAAGCAATTTATAGATTCAATGTTATTCCTATAAAAACTTCAATGACATTTTTCAAAGAAATAGAAAAAAATATTGATGAAATTCATGTGGAGCCACAAAAATCCTCAAATAGCCAAAGCCCTTCTGAATAAGAAGGGAATGGAGGCATCACACTCCCAGACTTCAAACTATACTATAAAACCATAATTAAAATTGCACGGTACTGGAACAAGAACAGACACACAGACCAAGGGAATCAAATAGAAAACCAAATATAAACCCACAGCTTTATGGACTGCTAATCTTTGACAAAGGAGCAAAGAATATCCAATGGAACAAAGAAACTTTGCTCAACAAATGGTGCTGGAAAGTTGGGCAGCCACATGCAAAAAAATGAAGCTAGATTACTACCTTGCACCATATACACAAACCAACTCAAAATGGATTAAAGAACTAGACCTGAAACCATCAAATATACAGAAGAAAATACTGGTGAAACACTACATGACATACACCTCAGTAACATCTTTAAAGATCCATCACCCAAAGCAGGGATAGTGAAAGAAAGGATAAGCAGCTAGGACTACATCAAATTGAAGAGCTTCTGTACAGCAAAAGAGGCACTACATAAAACAGACACCCCACTAACTGGGAGAAAATGTTCACATATAATACAAATGATAAAGCACTGATCACAAGGATATACAAAGAGCTGATGAAACTCAACAAATATAAAGTGAACAGTCCCATCAAAAATGGGCAGAAGAGCTAAAAAGACACTTCTACATAAAGGAAATGCAGATGGCCAGCAGGCATATGAAAAAATGTTCAGTATCAACTGCAATAAGGGAAATGAAAATCAAATCCACAATGAGATACCACCTCACACCAGTGAGAATGGGACATATTAAAAAAAAAAAGCAACAATAAATATTGGCAAGGATGTGGAGAAAAAGTAACTCTCCTACACTGTTGGTGGGAATGCAAACTGGTGCAACCACTATGGAAAACTGTGTGGAGGT